GCTGGCCTCAAACTCACAGAGATCTGCCTGCCTCTACGAGTGCTGGAATTAAAGGCGTGCGCCACCACACCTGGCCAAGTCCCTAATTTAATTTCATGTGTATCAGTGTTTTGCCTACATGTAAGTGCACTCATGTCCTGCAAGTCACAAGAGTTTGTAAGGCATTGGGTCCCCCCTGGATCTGGAGTTAGAGGTCATTAGCCACCATGTGTGCTGAGAACCAAACCCGGGTCCTCTGCAAGAACAGCCAATGCTCTTAATTATAGAGCCATCTCTAGCCCCCACTAATTAAAAATTTGAGACAAGGTTTCATGTCACCCAGGCTCTGGCTTCAAACCTGTTAACTGAAGCTGACCTTGAACTCCTGACTCTCCTGTCTCCACTTCTGAAGTACTGGGATCACACGTTGTGCCACCAGGCCTGCTAAGGTCCATCTTTATCCACTATCTGTTGGTGGACCCTGGGGTTGTTACTACCTGACTGTTTTGAATATGAGGAACATTTGAATCCAAGTACCTGGAACTCCGCTTTCAGTCCTTGGGGATCTATGCCTAGGTATACACCAAACTTCAGCCTTAGCCAAATATTTAGCTTCTTGAGGAAGCATCAAACTCTTCTCAAGAATAGATCCCCCCCCATCTTTTTGAGACAGGATCTCTGTAGCCCTAGGTGACCTGGAACTATGTAGCCCAGGCTAGCCTTGAACTCTAGAAATCCACCTGCTTCAGCCTCCCGAGTGCTCGGACTAAAGACACATGCCACCACTTCTGGCAGATTGAGCATCTCCTATTTGCACTGGAGTGATCCAATTTCTATGCACTCATCCAACACTTTGTTCTTGATAGCCACCCTAGTGGATGAGTGGTACCTCATGGGCTTCCTTTACATTCCACTAGTAGCTAATGATACTGAGCATCCATTCATGCGTGTGATGGCTACTAGTGCAAATTTAACAGGATGTAGAATCACTGGTGCCAATGTCTGGGCATGTCTATGAGGGATTCTTGTAGATGAGGTTGAGGTTAAACTTGATTCTAGATGTGGGCATCCCATGGAATGGGATGCTGCCTGAAAAAGCAAGCAGGCTAAGACCAGCATTCACGGTGCCCTGCTTCCTGACTGGACTGAATGAAGACCAGACACCTCCTGCCCCTGCCCACATAGCTTCCATGCCTTGAACTGAGCAGAAATAAACCCCTCCCTAAGTTTCATCTTTTCGGTATTGTTACATCAAGACAAATAACACAATGTTCTTATTGTCTGTTTGTATAACTTTAGAGAAAAAGTTCTTTGACTATTTGCAAGTGTATGCACACACGTAGAGGCCACCAAAAGATGTCAAGTGTCCTGCTCTATCACTCTCCATTTTATCCCCATGACATCGTGTCTCACACTGAACTTGGGAGCTAGACTGGCAGCCAGCAAGTTCCAGCAAGCCTGTCTCTGCAACCCTCCTGGATCTACTCTGGGGTTACAAGCACATACGTGACCATGCTAAGTGCTGAGATCTGAACTCAGGCACTTGTGCTTGTACAAGCACTCTCACTCATCAAGGCATCTGCTCCTTTAGGTTGTGTGTTTTGGTTGGGTTGTAGCACTTTAATGTTCTAAATATTGATCCCTATGAAACAGATGACTTGCTTTGTTTGGGGGAAGACCTCACTCTGTAATCCCATCTGGAACTTGCTATGTAGAACAGCTTGTGAACCTGAGTCCTACCTCACAAGTGCTAAGAGGACAGGTGTGCACCAACACTCCCAGTAACACTTCCATTTTGGTTGGCTTCTCACTGAATTGGTAAGTCTTTTGGTGCAGATTCACTGTTCATTTTTGAGACAGGGTTTCACTATGTAGCTGTAGCTCACCTGGAACTCCCAGATCTGCCCGACTCTCCCTCTGGAGTGCTGGGATTAAACGTGTCCCCCGACTCCACCTCTGGAGTGCCGGGATTAAACGTGTCCCCCGACTCCACCTCTGGAGTGCCAGGATTAAACGTGTCCCCACACCCAGGTTTGGTAGTTTTCATCTTAACTCAAATTTACCCATTTTCCCACTTGCTGCCTGGAACATTTCCTGTCACTTAACTGCTGGGACCTGGAGATGGTTCAGCGGTTAAGAGCACTTGCTGCTCCTTGCAGAAGACCCAGGTTTGGTTCCCAGCATCCAGATGGCGGCTTACCACCTCCCATAACTCCAGCTCCACAGGATGATGCCCTCTTCTGGTCTCTGAGGACATCAGGCACACATGTGGTGCACCATATATACATTCAACCACTTTACATAAACTTTTAATCCTAAAATTGTTTGCTGGGACATTAGATGAACTTGGGGATTTTTTAAAATTACTATGTCCAACGTCATGAATATCTGTTTTTTCCCAAGGACTTTATAGTTCATCCAGGGCTGGGAGGAGCTAGATCCATAGATTTGTCTTTGCTGTGCAAACATGACCCCCTGAGTTGAAACACCCAGTACCCATATAAAAAGCCAGGCAGGTGGTGGGCAGGCAGGCAGACCCGATGGCTGTCCAGATTGCCTAGCCAAAACAGGGAGCTTTGGTTCACTGAGACCTTGTCTAACGGCAAAAAAGTGGACCATGTTGGAGGAAAACACCCAACATCCTTAACCCTTCTCCAGCCTCCCTAGGCACATGCACCTACAGTCATGTGCATTCAACCCTCATACAGAACTACCCTTTTGGAAAAATCTTTTTTGGCCTGTCCCTCCCCATATAGCTTCTAGCTCTATCGTGCCTCAGCCTCCTCAGTCCTGATAGAACAGCATATCCATTGTGTTGTGTGCCAGAGGACATCAGGTATCATTCTTAGGAGTGCTATCCACCCCAAGACAGGGTCTCTCACTGGTCTGCAGCTAGCTCACCAATTAGGCTAGACCATTTAGGCCTATGAGCCCCAGGATTCTCTCCACTTCTCGAGAGACCACCTATGCCATGAGGGTTATACGGGTTCTAGGTCCTCATGCTTGCTTGCCAAGAGTTTTAATGACTGAACCGTCTCTCTACCCGCAAACCAAGCTTTCATTTTAGTTATCATTCTAGCAACCTTCTCTAACTACTGTTATCTGCTCTCAACTTTGTGGGGCTGAGCATCAAATCCAGGTCCTTCACCACTGAGCTACATCCCACCTTCAACTCTAGTCTTAATATATTAAGACTGCACTCGAACTCCTGAGCCTGGGCCCAAACTTGTTTTATACATCCCTTACCCATAACCTGGAGGCAATTTTAATGTGTTGTATGTGAATGTGTATTCACATCTGTATGGGCCAGAGGTTGACAAGTTTCTCAACTGCTCTCCACTTTACTAAGGTCACTGGCTGAACCAATTCTGCCAGTCTAAGTATCCAACTTCACCCCCACCTGACCTGGGGATTCAAACTCCAGTCCTAATGCTTACACAACCAACACCTTACTCACTGAGCCATCTCCTTGGCTCCCTTGGAGCAATTTTATACAATGACTTAACTGTGTATAAAAACTGTGGACTAGTGGGACGGCCCAGCAGTTAAGATCACTGGCTGCTCTTGTGGAGGACTGGGCTCAATTCCCAGCACCCACATAGCAGCCAACAGTCTGTAACTCCAGTTCAAAGGGAATCTACACCTGACCTCTGCCCGGATTGCATTACATTGGTGCACTTACATACATGGAGGCAATTCACTCATACAAAGTTTTAAGATTATGCATCTAGACATGCTTATTCATTTTAGAGTGCAAACACACATGCTATAAAATGTGTATGGTCAGAGGATACCCCTGGTTGCTGGTCTACAAACCTCCAGGTGGTGTCTCCCCTTCCACCTCACTACAGGAGTGCTGGGATTAGGGGTGCATGCTGTGTCTAGCTTTTCATAAGCTCTGAGGATGCAAACTCAGGTCCCCAGGCTCGCAAAGCAAGTGCTTTACCAATAGTTTTTTCCTTGATGCCAGTGGAGTTACACTTTGGGGTCCAAATGAGATCATGAACTATCCACTTGTAGTGATGTTGGAGCTCCAAGTCTCAATTTGGGGGGCATTTATCTCTGGATTAGAGATTGAAAAACATTATTAGAATCAGAAAAAACTGTTGATAGAACAGACTTTCATGCCAGAAAAGTAATTCCATTTGTTACATAACAAGAATCTACAGCAAGCTTGGTTTTTAATTAGAAAAGTTTAGGTAGGGGTGTGTGATCTTGTGGAGTGTGGAGGCCAGAGGACCTTATGGGTGATGAGCCTCCCTTCCACCTGGGAAACCAACTCAGGAAGCCAGTTTGATCTAAAGCACTTGTACTCACTAAGGCATCTCACCTAGTCAAATTTCTTTTTGAGACAGATTCTCCCTGTAGCCCCAGCTGGCCTGGAACTAGATTAAGTAGACCAGGCTGGCCTTGAGCTCAGAAATTCCCCTGCCTCTGCCTCCCTAGTGCTAGGACTAAAGGGGTGTACCACCACCCCAGCTCCTGCTTATATGTGTGTGCTTGTGTGAGTGCTGGTGCCTGTGGAGGCCAGAGTGGGGCCAGATCCCCTGGAGTTGGAGTTACAGGCAGTTGTGAGCCACCTGATATGAGTGTTGGGAACTGACTTCTGGTCCTCTGAAAAAACAGTACGTGCTCTGAACCACTGAGCCATTTTTCCAGCACAAGCGTCTGGCCCATCAGTTGCATCAGGCACACGGAGGTCCAAGCGGTTTCTCTGTACCTTTGGCACAAGCAATGAACCTGAGGGTGGCAGTCAACACTCAGCAGAAACACCGTAGGCAAGCTCAGCTTCCTGCTACAGGCTTTCCTGGACTCAACCTCCTGGTTCTGGGGGATTGCATCCTCCAGTCGAGGCCTGGAATGGCTCTGCTTCTTGAATGACCTTTTACATGCTACCCTTTAAATGGGCAGCTTTTCCACACACACACACCAGGCACAAAACATTGAACATCAGGCAGGTAAGAATCACACACTGGTAAAAAGACTAGTTCCGAAGAGCAAATAAATGAAAAGACACTTGGTTCAAATTAATGGTTTTATTTCCATCCGTAACACTAGCAGAAGTCCAAAACAGAGTGACATCCATGAGCGTAGTTCAAATGTAACAAAGAAAGTTAAACTATATACATTGAGGAAAGGAAAGGAGTTTTTTCTGTATCAACTTTTTCCTATGGTGCAGTTTCTGATTAGGAGAACTAAACATCTTTTTCTCAATTTAATTTAGGATGAAGTAACACATTTATGACGAACTTCATAAACTGTCTTTAAGGAGAAAACAAATTTTTAAGTGGGTATCACCTATTTACTGGTGAACTGGCTGCATCATCACCTTGGCTCTTTGAGTCTGGCTATCAGAGCTTGCAAGACCAAGGCCATGAGCCCACGGGGACCTCAAAGGCTGTGACACCCAAGGGGAGGGCAGACACTACTCAAGAGCTGATGCTCCTGCCCTCTTCATGTCCATGTAGAAAATTATTCATCTCAAACTGGAAGTCAAACAGTTAAGAAGCCAGAATGAAGAATAAAACTATTTTCTTTTCACATAGGAGGAACACTCCTTCAGCTCCATTTAAAGTGAATTCTGTGCCGAGTCCCTGCTCCTTCAGAAGGGCAAACTGAAGGTCAGTTATTGCTAGCAAAGCCCCAAGTGGTCCCTTTTCCACCTTGAAGATGTTTCACACAAAAGGGCTACTGGTTTGGCTTGAAGCCCTCTGAGGAAGTAGTGTGAAGGTGGAGGCAGGCTGGCACGAAGCCTATCCCTGACAAGCCATCCTGTGCCTAATTTCCTCAGGGGCAATTTGTACCACCTCACGACCTCTGAGAGCACCAGAGGCTCCCACATATGGAGTTGAGCAGAGTATTATGTGGCCCCATGCGGAGGAAGAGGTATCATGCTTTGCCAACCAAACCTACAGAGCAGTCAATAGCCCAGCTGGCCAGAAGAACAACTTTGGAAATAACTACTGAAGGGGGGTGAGAAAGCCAGGGCAGTGCCAGGATGGGTGGGCCAACACCTCTGAAAATGGGCAACAGTAACTTGGGCAAAAGCATGGAAGCAAGCAGCTGTTAAGGCCACTGTTACTGCTACTACCTCCTGCTCTCTATGCTTGGGCAGACATTAGGCAGTGGGAACTGAGAAACTCAGGGCTGGAGGGCATGTGGACAACACTGGACAGATCTTTTTAGCAAAGAGGACACTCAGACACCTGTCTCCCTGCTGGCCTTGAATATCCTGTGCCAGGCAAAGAACTCTGGAGTATGGGTAGGGTTCCTGAGAACAGCTGGTGAACACAGACGGTGGGATGGGCACTGCTGCTCCACAGACAACACTGGGCTGCAGAGACTAGCTGTGCTCCACCGCCCCCGACTGCTGAAGAGCAGGTGAAGAACGGGCTTTATTGCACTTTCTCATTCTTAGGAAACGGGTGCCCTGCAGACCATCTCTTGATTTGCAGAAAACACTGCACATCAATGCTAAGTTGCAGGCAGAATCACACATCACCTCTGACTCTCAAGGGAAGGAAAAAAGGCCCAGTAACTGGGCTTTGCAGGGACAGCTCCTGCACTGGGACCCTTTGACCAGGTGGACTGTGTCTGGCAAGGTCACCATGTGGCAGGCAGAATAATTAACTGGTTAATTCCTGGGACAGTCCTGCACCCAGAAGAGTTGGGGTACTTTCCCAAAAGGGAAACTTCTTGGCAAACATGTCAGCTCCATAAAAAGGCTGGAGCCACAATGCTCAACTCAATATGCCTGACTCCTTTTCTCCTACTCTGGGGACAGACCACCCCAAGGAGCAGAGATGCTGAGCTGACCTGGGAGGATCCCGGGCATCCAGCTCCATAGCATCAAACTGGAGATAACAAAAGGATCTAAGGGGTTTGGAAATAAAAGAACAGTTTACACATCAGATGATGGTTTTGAAAGTCTTTTTGAGATCAGGAAACTGGAGGCAGATAGATAACCATGCGGAGAGGCCAGCCCAGCTCTCTGTCCATTGGTCTCTCCTAAGCAGCCCTGAATATTTCATATATAAATGGGGTGGTATCGTTTATGGCTGATCTTTTTCCTACAAGTTGGGCAAGTGTTAGCATTCTTAAGAGAATCACGGAGGCACTGGCTACAGAAGACGTGGCCACATTCTGTAGAAACAATGAGGCGCCCATTCTGTACAATCTAGAAGACATTAAAAGGAACAGCTTTCAAGCTTCCCATGTCCCCAGGACCCAAACCCACCCACCACTGAGGTGCTCAACGAGAAGGGGCACAAGTGGTCTGTACACCCAGTCTCACAAATGTAGCCTCCATGGAAGGCAGGACTCTCTGAGATGCAGGCATGCAAAGGGGCAAGTACCAGCAGCTTCTGGCTAGGGCCAGTGTGGAGACATGAAAGCAACTCTATTTGCACCAGGGGCTAAAGTGACAAAACTGACACTCTTCTTTCACACAGATTTGCAATCAGTCTTGTGACAGCCCCGGCACAACTGTAGGTGTCAATATCCCACCTAAGGTGCAGATCCTCCCTCAAGTTCTTTTCAGTGAAGTAGGTTAGGATGAAAACTAAGATGACAACTAGGCTACTCACCTCAGAGTATCCATCCATGCAGATTGGACAACTGACAGTACCCGAGGGCCTACAATCACAATGCTTTGCATCAGTTTCTACAAAGATTCAAATACTTGATTACATTCTCTAAGTGGCAGCCCATGACCTCTACCAAATCCTTTCTGACTTCTGCTGAGTTAGGATAGGCATTCAGCTGACTTTCAGAAAAGTCAACTCCCTGAAGGGCTGTGTTGGAAGGCCATGAAAAGGGGAGGAGAGAAAGGTCTGGAAGAGAAGGTGCAGACAACGGTGTTGGCCCTCCTCCTCCAGCATTCCTGCCACTGGCAACTGGAACCCAACTGCACACACCCACCCTGGTCACTGTGAAAACAGCCGAGTCTAGTCCTAGACTCCAGTGATGCCTAGCTGATTAGACCAACTCTAATAGAGCAAGAGCTCACACACCTGCTGTCAAATGCAGTCCTTACATACCCTGGCTTCCCACTGAGCACAGGAGCAGCAGAGCAGGGGCACAACAGTACCTGAGTCCCGTAGCTCCTTCGTCTTTTGTGCTTCGAGGAGTATGGGTGGTCACATACACATCTCTGTCCCTTGACAGTTCCTCGTCATCACTGCTCACTACACAGCTGTCAGCATGGTCTTGGCGGAGTCTCCTTGTATTTCTCCGTGGCCGTCTCCTCTCTAAGGTAAAGGTCACATTTTCAAGATGAAAGGTCTCCACCCTTGTCATCCTCACCACCCACCCTGGTGCCCGAAACCCCCAACCCCAAGGCCTTGGGAAGAAACTGCTCAGTTCAGAGGCTAATCCCTTGTCTCCTTAGGAGAAAGCAACCATTAATGCCAAAAGCTGGTGTCATTTTAAATTGTCAGCAGTTGCCAAAGCCAGGTTGGCATCAAAGTGGGACTGCAGCTCAGCACCATGGGCAGGTTTTCAGCAAAGCCAATAGGACTGAGTATACAGTTCTGACTACAGGAATCTTCCTGCCTAGAGATCTTGGTTTTGCTCTCTTTCTAAAATACTTCATTACTTTTATGTGTACGTGTATTGCCTAGATATAGGTAAGTACACCCATGTCATGCAGTGCCTATAGAGGTCAGAAGAGGGCGTTGGATCCCCTGGAACTGGAGTTATGGATGGTTGTTAGCAGCCATGTGGGTGCTGGGCATCAAACCCCGGTCCTCTGCAAGAGCAGCCAGTGCTCTTAACCACTGAGCCATCTCTTCAGTCCCAGAGATCCTGGTCTCTTAAGCAGTGTCTGGCAACAGTCACAGTGCTGTGGCTCTTATCCACACTAATTACCTTCAGACCCTGAGATAAAGGAGATAAAACCACTCACCTTCAACAATCTGGAAAAACAAAGGAAAAAAGAGAAACATTGAGATTAAAATTTTTTTTTGGATTTTTGAGTATTTTGCATGCATTCATGTGTACCACGTGTGCAAATGCCTAAGGGAAGAGGGTGTCAAGATCCCCTGGAACTGGGAGGTACAAATGGTTATTAATGCCATGTGGGTGTGGGTCCTCTGGAAGAACAGCAAGTGGTATTAACCACTGTCTTGTCTCTCCAGCCCTAAAAACTGTCATTTTAACTAATAAAACGGACACACCTCTGGTGGGTTCCAATCCTCCCACTCCCAGGGGGAATGTGTGCTTTTTAAGGCTAGCTATGGTACTTCCCAGCAGCTGATAATGAGAGCCTTGTCCTGCCGATATCTGGGAGCCAAAGCACAGCCATATTGGGTCCTGTGCATGGCCAGGAGGCTGCGTATTGTCTGGAAGCTACATTTCCTTACGCAAGCAGGATCAGCCCATCTCACTAGGTCTTAGAGACTAAGACAATGGACAATCAACACAACTCAGGAAATGCCACCTAAAGCCAAGACAGGCACCTGTCAAAGAACAGAGCTTTGTTTGGAAGAGGATTTGTACTGAATGTTATAAAGAGTAAAAGCAGGCCAGGCATGGTGACACACGCCGCCTTCAGTACCCATTCGGGAGGCAGAGGTGGGCAGATCTCAGTGAGACAAACCTTTGCCTGGTGGCTCAATTTACATAACACACACACCCACACCCACACCCATGCACACACACGAGCAAACACACACATCTTTTAATTTTTTAAAGATAGGGTCTTCTGTGTCTCAGCCCAGGGTGGCCTTAAAACTTTTGATTCACCTGCTTCCACCTCCCAAGTGATAGGATTAGAGGAGTATACCATCATATGTAGTTAGTACATTGACAAATACTGCCAAAACAGTTCAACCCAGTTCACTGCCGCCTTCTGGACAAGGAGAACATTTAAGACACTGAAGGGATGGCCATGTTTTTATTTCACCCTCAGCACACAGAAAGCACCACTTTAGGAAGTGCTAACCACAGATGCCCTGCTGCTCATCCCTGAGGCACAATGCCCTGCCCTCTATTCTGACTCCTTTGCAGGAATTGTTAAGTCAGTTCCTCTATCATTCACACAACCTGCTACCTGGGAGCCCTCAGCATCTGAGGAAGCTCTGCAGCAGAGTCTCATTGAGCTGAACCCAAAGATGCTACTGCAGGATGGATTCTACCTCCTGCTCTTTGGTCTAGGCAGCACAGACGCTGCCCAGGTGGGCAGATGCTGGCAGGTCAGGACTTACTCCAGGACATCAAGACTGAAGCATATTCTAGGTTTTTCAATGTCATTTAAGCAACTCCTTCCACATGATAAAATCCTTTTAAAATTGATTTAGTTGGTAACTGAACCCTGTCAGAAAGTTAAATGAATAGGGTTAAGGGCTAGTGAGATGGAGGTGCTTATGGCCAAGTCTCAGGACCCAAGTTTGATCCCTGGGACCCACATGGGAGAGAGAACCAGCTCTCCCTTAAGTTGTCCTCTGACTGCTGTATGTGCCATGGCATGTACACACACAAATAAATGCAATTAAAAAAAAAAAAAAAAAAAAGAGTAAGAAGACAGGAGGACCAGGAATTCAAAGTCAGCTTCAGTCACATAAAAAGTTTAAAGCCAGCCTAGGCTATGTGAGACTTTGTCGCAAAAAAAAAAAAAAGTGAGTTCAGGTCAGCTGGGACTACAGGGAGACCCTGTCTCAAAAAGACCAAAAAAAAAAAAGATTTAAGAATTAGGTAAGAGAATCATTTAAGGTTACTCAAAGTGCTCTCTTTCCCCTTCCTCCTAGGGAACTTCAGAGGACGAGTAGAAATGTGAAATAGTCTCATCACCAGTACAAACTCCCCCAGAAAAGGGGAACGAGACAATAGTGCTGATGCTTGGGGTAAGCCCTGAGTCTGGCTGGGAGCAAAAATTTTTTCATGGAGTGTTGGAGAGTTGACAGTTCAGTGGTTAAGAGAACTGGCTGCTCTTGCAGAACACCAGGGGGTCAGTTCCCAGCATCCACAAGATGGCTATCTATCAGTGGGATCCAATGCCTTCTTTTGGCCTCTTTGGGCACTGTACAACATGGGTACACATATATATACAGGCAATACATTCACACATATTTTGTTACCAGTGGGATGATCTTATAGCACCAACACTGGCCCATCACTCTGGACCAAGGTAGATTAGGAGTGGATATAAGGGAAGGAGAAAAGAAGACATCCTTAATTTCCTAGCAACCAAGGTGTGGAAATTGGGTCTCCCTGCTGTCTCACCTTACCTCTGGGCTATTGCCAACTCAGGAGCAGACCTGGACCCTGGTCTTCAAGACCAGGAGCTGTTGCAGGGCAGCAGCAGATGTGCCCCAGAGGTGTTGAAAGCCGCAGGAGGCACCTACCTCCTAAGGTAACACAATGCTTGTCTGGCATGGGGGAAAGCATGGTGGAAACACATGATGCTCCTCTTCACCCTGCCTGCCCACCCCCTGACCTCTACAAATCAATTACGCCATGTGCACTTGTGCATGCACACACTAAAATGAATAAATATAAAAGTCTTCTTTGGGATAGGGTGTGCCACACCTGGTTTTAGGAAGTGCAGGGATCAAACCTGGGGCTTCTTGCATGCTAACAGGCTTGAACTGAGCTTCTGCCCCAGCCCAAATAACACATCTTTTGAAAATCCCAGCCCAAAAAACCCATCTTTTGAAAATTAAGGGAAAAAAAAAAAAAAAAACCCTTTCAACCTAATTTTTTGAGAGAAAACAATTGGTCTTTCTAAAGGCTACTCTTCTCCATCAGTCTGTCAGCTCTATCAAAGTATGGCAGGCTGCTAACACTCGTAAGTCGTTTGTTCTTTTAAAATATTTTTAGTGAGAATTTCAAACAATGCATGCATCTTCCCCCCAATACCACCTCCCAGATTCACCCTCACCTCCTTATCCCCAATGTTGTGTCCTTTAAAAAAAACCACAAAAAAAGTACTACCAAGTCCAACTCTTACAGCTGGGGAAGAGGCTATCATGGGGGTTAACTCCTCTAGACAAATCCAACAAGAGATCTGATACAAGAACTGAAGTCTCCTGCTGTCTCCCACATGAATACTTCTACCTAACTTCCTGCCCTGCCCATCTACTAGTCACTGTTCTGGTTTTCCCAACTCTGGCATTCCCATTTCAGGGTCTCCCCAGGTACTCTATCAAACCCTCGGTTAGCCAGGACTGCAGGATGGGGTTTGGGAGATGCCAGAGTATAGCATCTAAGCCAAGGATGAGAAAAGATAGGGAAGCCCAGGAGGGAGCTTGAGGCAAGAGCAGTCTGGTTAGCAAACAAGAAAAAGGGCTGAAGGAGAAATCAGGTTATCTGCCACCCAACAGATGCCAAGATGCTCCATCAGGACGAGCAGAGAGAAGATCAGGTACACTATGAGTAGATGCCAACCATTCAAGAAAGGACTTGGGCCTTTTTGAATGGAAGCCTCTCTCCTCTGCTCACCAGCGCATTCCCACTCTCAAGTGTGCTTCCTTTCTTAATAAGCTGGGTCTATTTCTATTACCTTGAGAGAAAGGGAGAAGGAAAAAAAGACTCCATCATGTGACAGCAACTGGGGCTTTAGCTAAGGTACAAAATTAAGCTCTTTATGTAACTCCCAAGAGCTGACAGGAACTAGCAGCCAAGTCAAAGTATACACGCACGTTAGAGGTGGCCACTTACAACAAAAGCTGTTCCTGCCCATTTCCAGGGAAGCTGTTGGTTCCTGTCTGGGAGTCAATGCCCCCTGAATCCATCATGGTATTATGGGATATCAGGAATGACAACAGGATTATCTTGTACCTCTGCCTCTCAAGTGCTCAGATTACAGGCATGTCCAACCATACCTGGCTACCCATCTCTTCTTGACATCTTAACATTTTTCAGTGAAACCCTCCTCTGAAGTTCTAACACATTAGGAAACTGGTTTGTCCCTGTTCTGACAGTCTGTTTTCACTCAGAATTCCAATTTGAGGCAAGGGGAAGATCTGCCTATTAATACCTCTGTCTCCACCATATAGTCCTTCTCATTAACACTTGCTACACACATGCCTAATGCTCAAAATGTGGCACCTCCTCTATTCCACAGGCTGCTGTCATCAGAAGAAAAAATTTTTTGGCCTTTTTGAGACAGGGTCTCCCTGTAGCTCCAGCTGTCCTAGAACTCACTATGTAGACCAGGCTGGCCTTGAACTCACTGATCGGCCTGCCTCTGCCTCCCGAGTGCTGGGATTAAAGGTGTGCGAAACCACGCTCGACCAGAACACATTTTAAGTGGCATCTCCCAAGAGTGGCAAACTTATCCTTACAAAGCTGGTCAATGGGAGGGCCAGATTCCAAGTCCCATACAAGGGAGGCCTGCACCATGGAACAGGGCTATCAGAAGTAACTTCTCAAACCCTCTGACCAGACGAGGCCTTACTCCTAGTGTGGGGTGTGTGTGTGTGTGTGTGTGCGCGTGTGTATGCACAGCCTCTCAGGCTCTATCTTCCTGGAGTTAGGACAGAGCTATGTCAGCAGGTATTGAGGCAGGGCACCTGCTTCCCTGGAGCTTTTATTTGCCAATTGTTTATTTCCCAATGGCAGCACAGAGCCAATATTCCTATTCCCTTCAGGTAAGAGGCATATAAGCTCACATTGACTGGAGCCAAGCTTCCCAAATACGGGTTTCTTTTAATCCTCAGAACACAGCTGATAATGGCAACTTAGCTCAGTTTGAAAGTAAACTGAATTAAGGAGACTGGCAAATACAGGATCACATTTTTAGTGAAATCTGTGGTATCAGGATTAACGAGCTAAGAATCCTTACAATTTCCCACTTTTAGGCCCTATTGGTGAAGGTCAGTCTCAAGTAGACCTATCCCATATCCAATAAAGCCACAACAGATGCTCTTCTTGAAACATCTCTTATCGACAGGTTCTAGTCACAGAACATGCACACTTCCTTAGCACCATGTTTCTAACCCTGACCTGTAGCTTTGTCTTCAGATGTTGTTAAGAACCAGCCAACTCTTACTCAAATGCTTACCACAACAGAGTCATTGTGAGTCAGGTCCACAACCACAGGCTCTAAAGATTCACAGGTGAGGTCCACAATTTCATCTCCGGCTTCAAAACAAAGCATTTCAACAAGTATTAGGAGGAAAGTAAGGGTGCATTCCTTAGTCCTGGTAGGTGTTACAAATAAAACCCTGACACAGATGGAGAATCATCAAGACTAACCTCATTTTCAGAAGTGACAGCTAAAGTGTCCCTCCAGCGTTTGCAGAGTTGGGCCTATGGTTTTACAGACATACAGGGTATGTAAGTAGGGATGAACTTCCAAACCCAGGGGTGTTACTCCACTACCACCAGTCATGCCTAGGCACAGCAATTTTATCAACTAGGAAGGACATTTTATTCTCTATCTCAAATGCCTCTCAATTTGCACCAGGAAAAGATGAAATTCATCAGTCCCCTAGAATCCCATCATGCTGAACAGGTTGGGTGAGCATGAACACAGAATGAGGGAAGGACATGATCAATGGAAAAGGGGTATTCCTCCTATAACTCAAAAAACCATCTCCAAGTATTTTTGTTTCTGATTACTATTAGCATTAAAACGTACAAGGTTTTTATTTTTATAAACAGTATTGGTTTAAAATACTCTAATTTGTTGATTTGTTTGTATTAAGAAGTTCCAGTACTGGGCATGGTGGTACGCACCGTTAATCCCAACAAGTGGGAGGCAGAGGCAGAATATCTGCGAGCTCAAAGACAGTCTGGTCTGCATAACAAGTTCAGGCCAGCCATGGCTGCATAGTGAGACCCTATCTCAAAAATAAGGGAAGAGTAGAAAAAGAAGCTTCCCAGAAATCTAGATATTCAATGGAATTCACACAATAGCCTCTCATTCTTTATGGAAAAGCGTGGTGGCTACTTAATGGGCCACACAGACTGATTTATGAGCTGTTCTTTCATGCAGATAACTGGCTCTTAAAAAAAAAAAAAAAACAGCACACCAGAAGCAGTGAGATCTTTCTGGAGATTGAGACCACATGTGAATTCAGTGTCACAACTAAGAAACATACCACCTTCAGGGATAGAGTGATGTGTTCAGAAATACACCATGAAAAGTGAAACTAAGACCACACAGAAAATGAACATTACCCTGGAGAGGCCCAGGAAATCCACCCCACACTCAACTGCTTCTAATTCTAAGATGGTCTCAGAGTTCCTAGTCATTTCTTTCCTTTGTAGTGCTAGGGGTTAAGTCAGGGCCTTACAAACTGCATAAACACTCCAATACCAAGCCATATCCATAGACCATTGCTTCTCTTTAAAATATCAGTTCTGAGGCATCTATGATAAAAATAACTTTAACATGGCAGAGCAAAAGTGACTTGATTCAGGCCATCTGACACTTTCCTGAGTAGCCAGGAGAAAATCCAATCTGGCCTCTGCTTAAACCAAGCTCTAACAATTGTAGCTCTGTTAACATGTTTGCCTTCCTTGGAGTTCTGTCTCAATAAAAAACAGAAGAGAAAACCCAAGTACTTTACAAAGCTAAGCATATTGGGATGTGATTTCAATCAAAAAAGGCAGGATAGTCTCACCTCCCCTGCTATACATTACCAGAAGGGTGAAGGGTTAGGTGACCCAAGTGGCTGCTTCAAAACCCACAAGTCCTCAGGGTACCAAAGGAGGCAACTTTGCTCAATGTAGGTCTTATTATAAAGAAAAGTGGCCCGAATTTCTAACAGCTAACACTTGTGTGGTGCTATCTGGCACCCAGGGTCCCAAGGGTTTTATGACACAGAGTCAACATGCCTTAAGTACTAATATCATCTCCTATAACAAAGGAAGAAACAGAGGCTCAAAAGTTTGTGACTCAAGGACTGGACCCATAGCTGGCAGGGATGGGCACGAACCAGGTCCAGTTCACACGGTTCCCCCTACACCAGACGTTCTCCACTGTTAACACCCAGGCCAGGGCTCCTGGCACTCTTACCAGTTTCCACAAGCTCTATGGGTTCTGCTTCCAAGGAAATCTCGGGGGTTGAAGGTGCTTCCCGAGTTCGCTTCTGGGTTTGTCTAGAACTTACTGCTCCACCACGCCGCTTTCTTTGAGGATTTCTCTAAGGATATCAAGGGGAAAAGAAACAGTTGCATGAACTCCAGATTTGACAGGGTTTGAGGGAAAGTAAAGAAGTCAACAAAAGGAATGGGTTCAACCTGGTTGTGCTCTGGTCTCCATATGCACACATGTGCATCCCTTCCCCAATCACTTGTAGCACAGGAAGAGAAAGACCAAGATATTATTTTAAGCTATTGATTTATTTTTATGTTTTGTCTGAATGTATGTGTGCAATGCCTGCAGAGATCAGAAGAGGGTGTTGGATCACCTGAAACTGGAGACCCAGGAGGCTGTTAGCCACCATGTAGGTGCTGGGACCAAACCCAGGTCCTCTGCAAGAGCAGTCAGTGCTCTTAACTGCTAGGCCATCTCTCCAGCCCTCAGGATGTTATTTATTTTTATTTTTTTGGTCTTTTTGAGACAAGGTCTCCCTGTAGCCCCAGCTGTCCTGGAACTCACTATGTAGACCAGGCTGGCCTTGAACTCAGAGATCCACCTGCCTCTGGGATTAAAGGCGTGGTTTGAGTTTGTATCTTTTGTGAAGAGATGCAAGCATTCTTCTCTAGAGCACAGCTTCTTAATCTAAGAGTTGCAAGGCTGGGTGTATAGTGCACATCTTTAATCCCTGAGGCAGAGGCAGGTGGATCTCCGAGTTCCAGAGCAGTCAGGACTACATGATGAGACCAGGTCTCCAAAACAAAGGATCAATTATGTTTTACAGAGTTCCACAGTTGCAACCCCCTTACATGGTCATGTAACTGAATATGGCGGGCTGAAAAAATATTCTGCCAAAGGTTTTTCTGAACATACACCGACCAAAAACTAATTCAAAAATCAAACTGATCATGAATCAAGGTATTTCTCATAGGACTCATTCATGCTCCATTGCGTTCTGAACATACAACTGACATGCTTTGCACTGTCAACACCACCCAATGCCAACAAACACTGCCCACCACACCTCAGCTTAGATTAAAGACTATTGTAATGTTAGGAACTGTAGTGTTTTTAGTGTAAAGCTCACTGTTCTACAGAAAACAAAGACATTGTTTTCCTACCATTATTTCTCCATATGTGATTATCAAATCAGTACATCCTTGGATTATACTGTGCTAGTACGTTTGATTTCAAAAACTGACATTCGAATTGAGTTTCATAAAAACAAAGATCATTAAGTCAATTCTGATTTGGGATTAAGACAGAATTTCCGGCATTTCTAAAATAGCCCTAAATGTATTACTACCATCCGTATTACACATTTGTGTTTCCAAGTGTCATTCTTAGCATTGCTAATTATAAAATCAAAATACCAATCAACTCTAAAAAATCAGAGGAAGCTCTATGTTCTACAGTATATAAAATATTCAGCGAAGTTTAATTCTTAAAAAAAAAAAAGAGTCATTTCCCCGGGCGTGGTGTTGCATGCCTTTAATCCCAGCACTCAGGAGGCAGAGGCAGATGTGGATCTCTGAGAGTTTGAGGCTAGCCTGGTGTAAATAGTGAGTTCCAGGAAAGCTGGGGACCCTGTCTCAAAAATACCCCCTCTCCCAAAAATGTCATTTCATTATCTATTTATTGTGTATGTGTGTGTGTGTGTGTGTGTGTGTGTGTGTTTACACATACTTATGCCTTGATGTGTGTGTGGGCAGAGGACATCTTTTGGGAATCATTTCTCTCCTTCTGTTATGTGGGTCCTGAGGATCAAACTCAGGTCATTAGGCTTGGTAGCAAGGGCCTTTACCTGTTGAGTCATTGCACAGGACTATAAATAGTAGTTTTAATACATTTGTAAAGGGCAGAGATCAACATTGACTGTCTTCCTCTATCATTCTTCACCTTATTTTTTGAGACAAGTCCCTCTCTAAACCTGGAGCTTGCTGTTTCAGTTAAGATTAGCTGACTAGCATGCCTGGAATCCGCCTTTTCCCACACTCTTCCCCCAAGCACTAGGGTTAGATGTGTGCTCCCCTGTCCAGCTTTTATGCTGGTGCTGGGGGTCCAAACTCAGGTCCTTATGCTTGCATAGCAAGCACTTTGCCAACTCAGCCATTTTCTCAGCCCTATAGTCTTTTATTATTTCTGGTATGCAAACAACTGCTCCAAAGATATGAAATACAAAATTCTTCTCAGTCCTCTGTCCTGGAAGAGGCACCACCCTTGACATCCAGGACTCAATGAGGACAAGACAAGGTTGGAACAGCAGGACCCCACACATACTCCTTTCAGACCTAAGGTTATCTAGAAGCAAAAATATTTTTGAGGCAGGGATTGATGCATTCCAGGCTCCCCAAACTCACCGAGTAGCTGAAAATGGCCTTGAACTTGGAACTTCTGATCTTCCTGACTCCATTTCCTAAGTACTGGGATTATGGGTATGCACCATAATTCCTATTTTTTTTTGCAGTTCTGCTGGGAAACCTACATTCCCATCCCTAGTTATTTAATTTTTAAAATATTTTATTATTTTTAAATTTCATGTGTACATCTCATGTGTAAATAAGTGCACCCATGTTGTGCAATGCTTGCGGAGGTCAGAAGAGGGTATCAGATCCCCTGAAACTGGAGTTACTACGGTTGTTAGCTGCCACGTCGGTGCTGGGAATTGAACCTGGGTCCCCTGAAAGAGCAGCCAGTGCTTTTAACTGCTGAGCCATCTCTCTAGCCCCTAGTTTGTTAATTTTTAAGACAGTTATTGTGTAACCCAGGCAAGCCTCAACTTTTAGCCTTCCTGCCTCAGTCTCCTGATGACTGGAATTAGATGCCTGTGCCACCACACCTGGCTTACAGTCCTCTCTTTAATGTGCTACAAGCAACAAAGTAGTTGTGTCGTCTTGAAAATAAAATTTATAAGCTGGTAAAACTTACTGTACTCATTGTGTCTTCCTGCTCTGATTCGGAGAAGAGGAAGTGATCTACACCAAGTCTATGGGGAAGTAGGGTGTTCTCAGTCTCTCATGCCCACTCAGTACTCATCTTTCGGCTTACAAAGAATTTGGAGGCAGCTAGATGTCCAAGTACTTCCAAGTTCTGAAAAATAAAAGTTGGTACTTGATAAACGTTGCCACTTGCATTATTGAAAACCAAGTACACACAGAGAAACAACAAAATTCAATTTTTATACTACTTGAAGTCCTTAGTCCCACCTTCCTTTTAGGAAGGATTCTTGTGAATGCAGGGCCATGTGCTTCTGAAGCCTGTCATCCAAACTATCATGCCACCTCCTCATCCTCCTCCTTGGTGCTAGGGCTTGAATCCAAGGCCTTCCTCACCACTCAGCTATCTACTGTCAGCCCTTCCTGACCTCCTTTTCTGGTTGCTTCAGGCCTAGTGAAAGTACTATACAACTCCAGCTGGTCCACACAAGGGCCTCAGCAACCAGAATACAGAACAGAGCTTCCCAAGTCAAGCAAAACCATAAGCCTCTGGCTTGTGCCATGATTTCACAACCTTTCCAAGGATCTGAGGGAACTGAGGACGTGAAAAGCCATCTTTTAGAAGTTTCCCAACAGACCACAGCATAGTCCTAGATCCATCAATTGCTGGATTCCAATGCACATTTATGCTTCTGGTTTTAGAAGTATCTATGCATAAGCACACATCTAATAAAATGTTTTCCCTCTCTGCAGTTATCTACCACAATGGTGGATCTTAGAATTCAGAAGAATGCAACAAAAATATCTTTACGGGGGCCTAGGGAAATGGCTCAGTGGGTTAGAATGCTAGCTGTTTTAAAAGCAAGAGGATTGGGATTAAAAATTCCCAGCAGGAGCTGGAGCTGGCTCAGGGATTAGGAGCACTGGTTGTTCTTGCAGAGGACCTAGGGTTCGATTCCCAGCACCCACTTGGCATCTAACAACTATCTGTAACTTCAGTTCCAGGGGAATCTGATGCTCTCTTATGACCTCCACCGGCATTACACAACATAGGTGCACTTGCATGCATGCAATACACTCATACACATAAAAATAATTTTAAAGCCAGGTGGGGTGGCACATGCCTTTAATCCCAGCTCTTGGGAGGCAGAGGCAAGCAGATCTCTGTGAGTTTGAGGTCAGCCTGGTCAACAGTAAGTTCCAGGTAGTTGGGGCTACAGGGAGACCCTGTCTCAAAACATTTTTTAAAAATATATATCTTGCCGGGCATGGTGGTACATGCCTTTAATCCCAGCACTCAGGAGGCAGAGGCAGGCAGATCTCTCTGAGTTCAAGGCCAGCCTGGTCTACATAGTGAGTTCCAGGACAGCTGGGGCTACAGGAAGACCCCGTCTCAAAAAGAAAAAAAAAAAATCTTTCAAAGACAGGATAGAGCAGTTATTCCTTATAACCAGGAAAGACTGCCAAGTCAGATACTAGGCATGCTGTGAGGATGAGAGAGAAACATTCACACCAGGGTGCCTAGCTGGTCACAGAATTCGGAAGACTGAAGCAAGAGGGCTGAGCTGGAGACCAGCCCGGCCTAATCAGTGAGCCTCTCTCTCAAAACACAAAACCAACGAGACTTAAGCAAGTAAGCAAACTGTAAAACTGAAGAGATCCAAAATTAAGGAACAGATGTAAGAAAGTGTGAGAAATTAGGAAGACAGATTGTATTTTAAAAAAGAACCTTTTGTAAAAGCAATTTTAGCCGGGCGTGGTGGTGCATGCCTTTAATCCCAGCACTTGGAAGGCAGAGGTAGGAGGCTCTCTGTGAGTTCAAGGCCAGCCTGGTCTACATAGCAAGTTCCAGGCCAGCTGGGGCAACAGGGAGACCCTCTCAAAAAGGAAAAAACAATAAACACCCCAGCAAAATTTAAATGCCAGAAACAGAGCCATCTAGATGGCTCAGTGGGTAAAAGCACTTGCTGCTAAGCCTCTGGGTTTGATGCCCAGAACCCACACTGTGGAAGGAAAAGAAGTGGCTTTGGCAAGTTGTCCTCTGACCAGTTTGTACATGCATGTAACACAAAATGTAAACATTTTAAAAAGCCAGAAATAAATTGGTTGAGTAAAGCCAAGCAGAGGGAGGAAGGATGGGCTAGAGAGATACTGAGTGTGAAAGTGCACGGAAGATCTAAGGATAACAAAGGTAGAAGTTCTCATGGGTTTCAAAAATCACACCATAAGGGCAGATAGAAGATGTGCCAGAATACAAGCTGGAAAAATTTAGGGGCTCTCAATGCTTTCACTCATTTTTCTTTTGGTTTTTGAACCAGGGTCTCCCTTGTAGCCCCAGCTATGGGGCTCACTATGGAGACCAAGCTAGCCTTGAACGCACAAGTGCTGGGACTACAGACATGCATTTCTAATTGCTCTACTCAATCATGGCTTGTTTATTTATATTTATATATTTTATTTTGCTTATATTTACATGTATTTTATTTTTATGTTTTATATATCTTCCTATGTAGGTCAAGTTGATATCAAGTTTACAGAGATCCACCTGCCTGTCTCCCTGAGTGTTGTGATCAAATGTATGCGAAACCATGCTCAACTTATTCTTAAGTTTTATTTTTATGTGTTATCTGTGTGAATGCATAGGTATCTGAGGAAATCAGCAGAAGGTGTCAGGTCCCTGGAGGTAGAGTAACGGGCAGCTGTCCTCTGGAAGAGCAATATATGCTCTTTCCTGAGCCATCTCTCCAGCCCCTATTTTTTTTTCCAATAATGTTATTATGCACACTTACCAATGTCAATGTCAAGCTCCCACTACTGACCAACTCTAGTAGGAACGTGACATGTACATGATGGCTAAAGATTGTTAAGCAAACAAGAAACAAGAAGTGTTAGACTGGCATTTCCATCACTGACTCTTACCACCATATTCCCGTTAGCAGAAAAGGGAACAGAAATAAGGTCCAGAGATTGGAGAGATGGCTCAGAGGTTAAGAGCACTGGCTGCTCTTGCAGAGGACCTGGGTTCAGTTCCCAGCACCCACATGGCAGCTACCAACCATCCGTAACTCCATTTCCAGTAGATTTGAAATCCTCTTCTGATTTCCATGGGCACTGCATGACACTGGTGCACTTACATACATGCAGGCAGTAAAATATTTTTTGTTGTTGTTCTTTTTGAGACAGGGTCTCCCTGTAGCCCCAGCTGTCCTGTTAACTCACTATGTATACCAGACTGGCCTTGAACTCAGAGATCCGACTGCTTCTGCCTCCCAAGTGCTGGGATTAAAGGCATGTGCCACCACGCGTGGCAATAAAGTATTTTTTAAAGTATTAAAAAAGAAATAATAAAGTTCAAGGACTATTATGGGAAACTCTTCATCTAGTCCAGACCCAAGGCAGGCTGGGCCTTCAAACTGCAGAGCACATGTAATTATTCACTGATCATTGAAGACTGACAAGGCCAATTTAGTCTGCATAGGGAGTTTCAGACCCATGTGTCTCAAATAGCCAACAAAAATATATAAATAAAACATAAAAAACTGCAGCTGGAGAGATGGCTCAATGGTTAAGAGCTACAAACCGTCCTTAACTCCAGTTCCAGGGGAATCCAAAGCCCTCTTCTGACCTCCGCAGCATTGCACAACACAGGTGCACTCACATACACTCAGGCAATACACTCATAAAAACAACAACAACAACAACAACAACATAGGCCGGGCGTGGTGGCGCACACCTTTAATCCCGGCACTCGGGAGGCAGAGGCAGGCAGATCTCTGGGAGTTCAAGGCCAGCCTGGTCTACATAGTGAGTTCCAGGACAGCTGGGGCTACAGGGAGACCCTGTCTAAAAAGACCAAACAAACAAACAAACAAACATAAAAAACAAATTTCCACTGAGCCTAGTAGTGCATGCTCTTAATCTCAGCACTCAGAGACAGAAACAGGCAGATCTGTTTGAGGTCAGCCTGGTCTAATAGCAAGTTTTGGGCCAACCAGGGCTACACAGAAAGACCCCCGCCTCAAACAAAACCAAATCCAAGCCAAGAAATAGAGAAACCCACCAACTTCCGTGGCTCTGGTTCATCCACAACAGCCAAGCAGTCCTGGACCTAATGTGGCTGCTTGTGCTTTTCCCAGGAGTACACTTTACTCACAAAAGGCTGTTCCCACAAAAACAGCCTTAGCCTCCTGTGAGTTGACAAGCTAGCCAGAGTAAACTGCTTGTGCTGACAAGGCAGAAGTAAAAATCAAACAGAATTCCACCAAGGAAATGCACAAATTATCAGTGACTAGGCACTGGCCAGATTTGATTATCTGGCTCATATCACCTCTTTTATAAGATTGTAATAATCTCCCTAGATGGAATTTCAAGACTCCCTCTCCTATTTTTATTATTTATTTAGCTTTGCAGTGGAGACCTAACTCTGGGCCATGTGCACACTAACCACACATTTTACCTTAGCTGTATACCCAAGCCCCTAGATGGAACTTCAAAAGTAGGGTTACAGAACACATGCTAACCAGGAATACTGGAAGGACTGCTGAGTGTACCAGTCAACTGTTTTTTTTGTAAAGAATGTCAAAACACCCGTGCTACTGGCGATGGTCATTGCCCAGTACAACCTGCCCTCCTGGGCACTAGGCATGAACATTAAAATCTGCCAACAGCAGCACACTGGGATTCTAGCTACTCAGTAGGAGCTGGGTATAGTCAATGTAGAACATACTTAAAAGGAGCCTGGGGTTGTAGCTTAATAGTAAAGCACTTCCCTAGAATGTGAGAATGTGAGGCTCTGTCTGGGTCTAATACCCAGCACCACAACAAAACACACACCACTACCAGTAACTTTTATCTCAAAACTCTGACGGCACGGTCACATTAATAACCACACCTTAGTGTTCAAGGAAAAAGGCTCTTGCTTGTTAAGATTTTGAGGGTCAGCAGTTATGTGGTTGGCCACACATAACCACCCTATGTCCCTGAAAAAAATTTGGTTTGGGTGCCTCAATGTCTGTCTGTAATGTGGGAAAAGCAGTCCCCTGCCAGTACTCTTACCAAGTACCCCATATGTGGTCCTAGCATCCCAAAGGCAATTCCACCAGCTGATTAATTCTGTAACTATGTACAACCTAGCCTGATAGAAACCTCCAGAAC